CTTGTGTTTCCCTTCACGACGGAATGACAAGTTCAGCTGGTCAGCGTGTGCCGCCTCTGTAATGCAAAAGGCTGTGGAAGGGACAACAGTGACTCCCGAGTGGTGCTGTGCAGTGAATACAGCTGTAATTAGACCTTTTTTCCCTAATCCTTTGTGCTAGCGAATTGACTAGTGGAAGGGCAAAGTGTTGAAGGAAAAACAGTTGCAGTTTCAGTGCGCTTTCACGGCTGAAAAGCATTTCAGGTGTGGTGGCTCTGAGCTGAGGCTTTTAAAACCAGCTTCAAGCACCTGCGTATGTGGCGTCACCTCAGAGCTGCAGACTCGCAGCCTTTGGTGGGAACCGAACAAGAAGTGCCGGGTTCGTTGGGCATCTGATCCTGAAAACTGTATCTTAACCTTGTTATCTGACTTTTAGTATAGAATCAAATTTTGAGAAGTTGCACAGATTTGTGGTGAAGCAAATTCAAAGCTGTAATTTCAGCTTTCTCAAAGTTTTGTCATGGCAGTGACTAATACAAATTATGTACTTAAAAAACAAAATGCAGTACAGCAGGGGTCAGCAGCAATTGGAAAACCTTTGCTTCAAAATACTTTCAGTGGAAGGCGGAAAGGAAGGCACGTTTATTTGCTCTGTAAGTTGATGTAAGAGTACGTTACGTTCAATTTAGAAGTGTGTTAATGGCAAGTGTTCAGACCAACTTCTGTGTTTAAGTGAAAAGTACATGTTTGTATTCATGATGAGTTTGACTAGCTAAAATTAATTTGCTTTCTCAGAAAAAAATCAGGAGGTTGATGCAGAAGAAGGACCAACTCTTCATCCTGTTGAGATGTCTTGTAGTCCATCGTTAATAGAACCGGCGTGTTCCAACTCTGAGATACAGGGAACCGCAAAAATGAGAAAAAATGATGCTACTTCCAGATTTTTGGTGGGTGCTTAATTTTTAAATGAAATTTAATATTTGTAAGCATGTGTTGAAAGTGAAGTAAAGGTGGTGTGTTTTCTAAACACTTTTTTTTTTCCTGAGAAGTAAACTCTGGCAAAGTTGTATGATTAAAATACCTCTTGTTTTATTGATTTGTATGCTATACAAGTATATAAATATATTTCTGTTGTGTATTTATGATAATTATGCTGCAGTAACTGGTTCTCTGGAATATACAAAAATTACTATTGCTACAGGAATATTTTGAACTAGCAATACGGTAGCTGAGTTCAGTACTACAGAACAAAGTCCAGTTCTGGTCTCTGGTCTGTATCAGTAACTGCGCTGTAAGTACCTGTGGAGGCCTAGGGGAGTGAATGACTCTTCTCCCAATCAGCCTAAAAGCTTCTGAAACTTATATCTGGAGAGCGTGCAGTTGGACTGTAGATACCTTGTGCTGGCTATGATATCTGTTTACAGTGTACTAGCAGCCCATTTCATTTGAATCGTACAGCTGTCATGGAGTTGTGTTGTCAAGATCCATACAAACACACAGATAAATAACCCTCCTGTTTTTCCCTGGCAGCCAGCATCTTGTCCAGCAAAACCGAGTTTTCAAAGCAAGCATCTTTTGCCTTTTTTAAACATTGCTGAGTAAAAATGGCTTTCAGACAGTCTGATAAATAGTGTATGGAGCCGGTGGGATTTTTCTTAAGTCGTCTGTTGTGTATCCAGCAATATAGTGGTAAAAGGGACACATTGGTCAACATTGTTGTACAGTAGATATGTACAACAGATGAAACATCAGCCTTTACTGTAGCTGACGTTCCTGGGATGGATATTTACATTTTAGTAAGTGGAGATTCAAACTGATAGTATTACTTTCAGTACCTAAGTATGTACCGAACATCACTTTGGTGTATTTAAGTTTTTTAGAGTGTGGTTCCTTTCTGGAGGAAGGAATTGAGAGAATGCTAGCAAGACTTTTCTATAGGCATTTGTTTGTTAAACCTTCTCTTTCTCGTATTTCTATGTGTTGAAACTCTACAGGAAGATGCTGATATAGCTCTTCTATGAAACTTTCAGTCTGTAGCCTTTTAGATATTTATTCCAAAGGTCTAAAGAGGTTTTTTTTACTACATGAAGGTTTCTATAGATGTTGTTTTTCTGAGCGAGTAGGAAGTGTAAAAAAAAAAAAAAAAAAAAAAAAAAAAAAAAAAAAAAAAAAAAAAAGACATTTCAAAAAGTAGGTAGTTGTCCAGGCTGCGTTTGAAGGACATAACTGTGTACAAACTTGTGTTGTAGTTTCTCCACCTCTTTTGTGACTGGAGAAAGGTACTAAACAGTAAATATTGTTTCAGGTTCCTCCTTCTGATGGTAATGAAAGTGAACAGTCAAAATCTATTCAAAGAAAGAGAATGCTTCCATCTTGGATGCTGGAAAGAGACCTCCTGGTTCAGAGGATTTCTGAGCCTGTAATGAAAGGAGGTAGGTTTGCAGTGTGGTATGTTTGCATACCAATATACGTTTATGTGCTTTGATCTCATTTTCTTAAATTATAATTGTGGTAGTAGAAAGTATTAATTTGTTACTTCTTTTTCCATGTTCTGTGCCTGGCAGCTGACAGAGACTGACTTCTGTTGTCTCCTTTGTCATCAGTCCTACGGGCATGACAGAGCTTTTTCTGATCAGTTGATTTTCTTTCTGTTCTTTTTTTTTTTTTAATGCCAGGTAATATACTCTCTTTGGACAGCTGAACACCTGATGTTCTGGAGCCCTTTCCTATAAACTCACCTGTTTTGTTTAGTATGTAAATTCTAGGTAGTTTCTGTGCCTTTAATTGCAAGCCTTTTCCACATTTAAGTCACTGGTTGCCCTTCTAAATTTAGATTCTTCTAATTTCACAGGTTTTAAAGATGGGGGTTTTGGGATGGTGGTGTGTGTTAGTTTATTTTTAACTGTGACTGAATCAGACTTGACCATTTAGTCCAAAGTTTCTTCCTAGGAGGAGCAGTTCATGACATTATAGTAGTTTCTTACTAGTATGAGGCTAAAATAGTATTGCATTCCCTCTTGTCCTTCCCGCAAAAGGAAATTCCTGAATGTACAATAAACTTCTACCACTGTGTATCAGCGGTAACAGCAGCAGAATACTGTGTTTAGTCTCTATCAACGGGAGACACAAGGGTGCCATGTTGGCACAATCCCAAGAAAATCTTCTAGCATGCCCGGCTTTGGTCCTGGGAGCTTGTAAAGAGTTCTAAAACTGCCGATGGACATTCTCCGACAAACTTATGGCAAGGCATTTATTGCTTTGATGACTTTTATCGATGGAACTGAAGGGCTGAAGAAATGAGAGAAGGAAAATGACTACGTACATTAACAATGCTCGTCCAGCGTTTCTGTCTTTCTCTGTGCTGAAGCCAGCACGCCTGACTGCTGAGTTTCCTTTGTTCGTCAGTCTAAGTGTATGAACTGTGGCTGGTGTGTACGTGTCCGCTCCTCTGTGTCCAACAGCTATTCTTTAATGCCTCTGTTTCCACCTGCTATTTCTGCTGAGATGGTGTAAAGGAAAAATTTGGCTCTTGATGCCCGAGCAGGCCTGCAGAAGTATTTCATGTAGTGTCTGACCAATTGCTTCTTGTCTCCTGTAGTAAACACAGGTGTCTGGATGGACTGACCTGGGCAATTCTGGCTTTGAACACCTCTGTCGTATGTCATTGGGTACCCTGCCTATTCTTTTCCTCAAAAGCTAATTTTGAGAAAATTATAAGAAATGAAATAAACTTTACTTTTTTTCCCCCCAAATCTAGCCTGTTCCCTGCTGGCTTATTCCCTCAGATGTAAAAATTCCATGTACCAGAGGACTTTCTGCTGGCTGTGTTGAGTTGTTGAGTCCTGCACTAGTAAGATTGTTTTCTTATGTTTGGGGTTGGGGGAGGGGGTGGTGGGGTGTTGGTTTGTTTGTTTTTTCTCCACAAGTACTATGATGTTCGTTATATATGTGTATATAATGTTTGTTTCAAAGACTGAATATTTTGATCACGTAGGTGCTGAGATTTGGAGCTGCTGAAGGCCTGACCTTGAGGGAGCTAGGGATACATACAAACACTATTGGAGCCACTTAAAAATTCATTATGTGAGATAATGATTCCAGTTTAGAATGGGCTGCTTTAATATAACAACCAATCTCTTCTGCAAATATCATATTTCCTTAAAATTGTGAAATGGTGTGCATCTTTTTTAGGGTGGTATTGGACGGAAAGGTAGAGAGTAAAATGAAAAGGCTGCCCTTTTGTTTCTCTTCTGTGTATCTTCCTACTGGAAAGGGAACACTGATTTGTTGTTTTGAAGTCGGACGTTAACATTTGGAAAAACTCCTTGCTTCCTACAGATGTCTCTGGCATGTCTATATTTTTTGAAGGGGGAGAGTTTTTGAAGTCTTGCAAAATGGCATCAAGTATTTTCCTTCTGAATGTGTTTTGCAGCAGACGGAGCTATGACAAAACCGGCATAATGGCCCTAGCTACCTCCCAGCCATATATCCAGAAAATACTACTTCAGTACAGAGAACTTAAGAGTTTTCTGGGATGTGAAGCTTTGCAAAGAGAGGCACAACATTTGCTGTCTTTCTGTCGGTTACTGGCTGATGAAATAATCAACCATGATGTGGTTGGTTAGGCAAGTGGGCCTACCCTGATTTTGCCATGTCCTAATTAATTGGTGTTTGTGTGTGTAAACTGGTAGTCTGAAATGATATTTACTTGAAAGGTCTGCGGTAAAAGTCATCCTTGGACGTTTGGTTTGCTTGATCAGTTCCTGTTGTGTAAATGAAATTGTCAGTCATACTGATACAGTCAGTCCAGAATATCCTTTCCCACATATTTATTGTTTTCCTTCAAATTTCCCCCTCAAACATCTGTTTCATTCTAAAATATACTTCTTACTCCTATAAGCGGGAGGTGAAAAATGTGTTGTTGAAACAGCACATGCACAAGTGCTGCTATTTCTCATGCCTTTTGCCCAGTGTTCTGCTTTGATGTAGCTTTAGATTTCTAATGCGATCAGGATTTCACTGTAAAAAGTTGCATTCCAAAAGTACCCTTTTGTTTTTCTTTTAAGGTAGTAGAATGAAAAAAGGCCAAGGAAGGGGAGAAAGTAATATGGAGTCATTAAAATCAGAAGTAAATGTGGAGCAGAAAAAAAGATTAGCTTCTGAAGAAACTATAGAGGATTTTGAAGGTGAAGAGCAAGATCAAGGGAAAAGGAGCTGTCTTTTCATCCCTGTCCCTTCGTCTCAGGTAATTTTTTGGCTCAGGGCACAACCATGGTATTTCAAAAAATGAGAATGTGGTTGGCAATGTCATGTTGAAGGTTGGGTCTACAACATAACTATGTGTTCTGCTTGTGATTTGTGGCTTAACAGTTGTTTTGAAATGCCAGTCCATTGGACAGCTCTATAGCAAGGATCCTGTAAGTCTTCAGAGACCTGGTTTTCTGCACTTCCTTCTCGGGATCTGGGATTTAGGCCCTGAATGTTCCACGGAAATACCAGACTTTCAGCTTTACAGCAAGAGGCTGGAAGACATGGGCCAAAGTACTGGTCCTGGGAGTGGCTTGGTGTGTGGTTTCTTTTTCTGAGAACCCTTTAGGGATAGGTGATGGTATGACACTGATGTAAGGCAACACCGGACTTTGCCCAAACTAGAGCCATTCTAGTTGGTGAAGTTTTATGGTCAGAAAATTACGGTCTTTGGCTTCACAACTGCTACGTTTTGAAGAAAGATAGTAGGGAGTGTGCTTACGCCACTATCTCAAAATCTGAGTCAAAAAAAGGAAAGAAAAAAAAGTAATCTGAAATCCAAAACAGTCTGTGGCAGTGAGTGAACAGACAC